TAGCTTATTCTTTTACCCCTATGGGAATAAACGGTGCTGATATAAATATCCTAATGCCTCCAAAGCTGCGTTGCTGCTTGGGGAAGGGAGGGATGGAGCTGTACCGTTGTAACTACATTGATAGAAGTGAAGTGGTACAACTGCATACGTGTGGTGGAGGGTGTGGGGAGGAAGGGTGCTGATGTGGAACTGGTCTCATAGGATAAAGGAGGGTCATCTGGCAAATACTCCATGCTACTCTGGTTGTCCACAACCCCCTTCCAGCTATGACTGAGGAAGCTGTGTGACTCCTGTCCCCTGTCCCCTCCCCCCGGAGCCTTCTGCACCTAACCTCCCAGTTTTCATCCTCCTCCAAGTGTATAGCTCCAGCATCTGCCTCTGCTGCTGCTAATGGGTTTTTCAGAAAGAATAGTGAAGCAGATGGTTAATTTTAGGGTCTTGAGTAGCAAGTGGCACAAAACAAGACTGTGGCCAGCTTTTGTTGGCAGCAATGCAGTGAAGCTGGGAGGAGCAGCATCATTGCTGGAAAGGTCTGTCCACAGATGCAGGGTGATGGCACTGCACCGCTACACTCTCTGTTCCCATTGCTGCTGGTGCACTATATGTAATTTTGTAAAGGACCCATTATCTGGGAGGGTATCCATTGCCTGCTGTGCTGTAGCATCTGCCTCATGGTATCACTGCAAAGTAGGGAAATGCCACATCCCCCATTTTCCAGATTGCAAATTGAAGGACAGTAGAAAGCCAGGGACTGAAGTGTGGATTGCTCAAAACTGCTGTGGAAGCTGTGGGTGTACAGTAGCTTCTGCTGACAGTCAAATGGGGCTTTTGTAGCTGACTCAGGAATTGATCCTAAATCTCCCACAGGATTCCCTTTGCAGAGTGAAATGTCTAAACCAATTGCACTTAGATTTGAAGCTGAGAGGGAGCTGCCAGCTTATTATCACTTGCGTCCCCTCCCCTCGCTGCTAATCCTGGTCCCTTTCAGAGGCAACAGCTCAGCTTTCTGTGGCTGCGAGTCCTATTTTCCCCTTCCCAGTAATAAAACCTGGCAGAGCAGAAAAGAGATGTCGAAGTTCAGGGTGACAAGATTCCTTTGTGTGACTCACTGGACATCCTGTCTGCTGGACACATGCCTTCTGGGCCCCCTATGCATGAGTGCTGTGCTTAGTGTTAAACTAGCCGGGGCTCACGGAGACGTGCTGGGGAAGGGGAGGTGTGATCTTGGAGATGGTAAAGCAGATCTGGCTTCCATTTCTGACTCCACCACAAATCCCCTCTATGACTTTGGGTGAACTGATCCACTTCTTTATGCTTCTTTTCTCTAGGGGGGTAGTGACCATTACCTGCTTATCTTGTGGAGCAGCTGGTGGGGCCAGGGACCTCGTGATCAGGAAGCTGGCCTCAGGTTTGTTCCACTGCAGGGATTAGATTGCAGATCCTTTGGGACTGGAGCTGGTTTTGGTTCAGTGTTGGTACATGATGGGGTGTCCTGGTCAGTGCCTGGACTGCTAGGTGCCATCTCAATGCAGCTCATCATTGATAATATAAGTTGTATGATGCCTTGTCAGACAAGAGCTGAAAGCTGCGCTGTGCTTTTTCTACTGTCCCATTTTCTTCTATTAGCTATCAGGAAGGTGAGGACTTAGGCATCGTCTTGAATAGATCAGCTATGGCCAGACAAGATTAGTGTGGGGGAAGCTCTGTTATGGACAAATGTCTCCAAGCCGCTTAGTCTACATGGATTGGACCAGGATGCAGAATGAGATGGAGTCTTCTCATGTGGCAGGAACGTCGTGTCTAGGCATTTTGGCCTCTGGTGGCAAGGTCGTTCAGCCTTTTTTTCCATTAAGTGATACTCTAATACAGCTGGTTGTTTTTTTTTCTATTAGTCAAGGAACCTGATCCAAAGCTGGATCTCAGCTTCATACTATGGAAGTTAACAGATATACCTTTCCAGCCTCTGGGAAGGGCTCTTTACCCCAACCATCACCAAAGGCACTATTGTTAGTTGTCACTGCATCTGTAAGAAGACGTGCTACAGCACCGGGTGGTTGATCCGCCCCTTGGTATGGTTCAAGCATGTCCTGCGTCTGCCTCCAAAACTGTATATTATTTATTTATTAGATTGATATGTTGCGCTTTGCAAAAGAGGCTCAGAGTAGCTACAATCAAATAAAAAAAGATAAAAATATTAAAATAATATGTGATAGAAAAAGCTCCCCAGACAATGGCCCAAAATATATCCCTTTCTGTTGAAGGTCTGCCTGAATAGGAAGGTTTAGCAATGGATATGGCAGGTGTCCAGGCTTGGGCTCTGAGGGAACACAAAGTGGGGAGATACTGAAGAGCAACTACTGAGGATGACCTGCATGTTTTTTGCCAAATGGACTTGGGTCTTACGTGCTGTTTGTGGGAGGCTGATTTTAGTGATGATGATGGAATATAAGGGAGAAGGCAGTTCCTTAGGTACATGGGGTCCAGATAATTTTGGGCCTCATAGGTCAAAACCAGACCCTTGAATTGCACCTGAAAAGCGACTGGAAGCCAGTGCAGACTCTGGATGCAGACCGGGGTAACGTGCTTTATCTGAGCAGCGTTCCTTCCCACTGAACCAGAACACCAATCTCCTTCCTTTCTTTCCAAAACCTCAGTCACCCATGTAAAATGAGTCTTCACAGATCTAGATGCCAAGATGGCTTTGAGGTTGGATTTGGAGAGGATGAAGCATTAGGAAAGTTGCAAAAACCTTTTGTAGCCTTTGACCATCTGCGCAAGGGGAATACTTTTTCCACTTGGTGCTTGTTGAACTGGATTAGCACATGCAGAGATGTGTTGTGCTTTGGCTGGGATGTGATGGTCTTAAGCCTAAATACAGGCAGTCTTCGACTTACGACGTTTTGAGTTACAATGTTTCGCACTTACAACGTTTATAAATTGACACCCTGTTTCAACTTTCTGATGTCAGTTTAGACTTTACGACGCTTGATCCGATGCAACACCATGCCAGTGATCAAGTTCGCTGCGTCACTCATCTCCCTGGCGAACATCTGTCCAAACTTCCTTGGACACTTTCTTTAAGAAAGCAGCCAAGACTCCAGGAAAACCTGTGGCCAAGACTCCTGAGAAGACTTCAGCCAAGAGCCCTTTAAAAAGTCCAACCAAGAGCCCTTCAAAACATCCAGCAAAGTCTCCTCAAAGAAGTCCTTCCAATTCAATATGATTGCTATTTACAATATAAATGCATTAATGTAGCTACATTACTCATCTATAATTGATTGAGTACAACATTCTGGGTTTTTATTGGGGAAAACTGGGTATCAGGCCTTGGTTCAGGAACCATTCCCCCATTTATAACATTATTTCCTATGGGAAAATCAGTTCCAAGTTACAATGTTTCGACTTACGATGTGGTTTTCAGGAACCAATTGTGTCGTAATTCTGAGGACTGCCTGTAGTATTAACTCAGGGTGGCATCTGGGGTTTACCTGCATAGTATTTCTATTGGAGCAAATGTTTGGGTTCCTGCTATAGCTCTTACAAGCTAATTTAAGTAAGTGTGTGTGTGTGTTTGGGTGATAGCCAAAGTTTAATCAATTGCTTCAGCCTGGCCTGGGAGTAGACTGCTACTTGTAGATACTCTCTCAAAGACTGACCATTATGGTTAAGTAACCTTTCTTCAGTCTTGAGTTCCTTTGGATGGTTCCCATCATCTGTTTCCAGTCATCTGCAGATGTTTACTGTTCAGTTCCTATCCCTGTTTTGGCTTCATATTGTCAATATTTCCATACGTTCCTATAGAAAAAATATATACCACTATATAACCAATTGATTTATTTCTACCAGTGATTTGATTGTCTTGTAATTTCCTTGATGATACAAAATTGAAAAGGTGGAAGCCAAGATGTTTGCATTTTCCTAGAAATAATGTTTTTGTTTGCAAAGTCATAATGAGGGGGTAGCTTTAAATTTAATTCACCCAATCATGGAATATTATGTAGAAAAAAAAATTAATTGAATCCTTTAGTTAAAATAAGGAAACAAAAATGCATGCTGTATATTCTGTAGGGCAATACTGACAATGTGAGCATGGGGTGGTGGAAGGAAATGAATGAATGACTCTCTCTACACGAAACATATGCTAAAAGCTCTGAATAGGGAAAACTCCCCCTTCTGGAGAGCATCCCAGTGAAAAAGGATGAATAGATGTTTTTGCAGGCTACTCTTGCAAAACAAATGCTGTAGAGAACCATTTTTGTATCTTCTGGAAAAGTCCCAAATGGCAAGTCCTCTTGGTCTTGAGTTGATGAAAGACATAGAGCAGGGATAGGTCTCCTAAATCCCTATCATCGTGGTAAAAGGGAAATGTCCCAGTTTGCTGAAATTAAAGACAGATACTTGTTTGGAAGCTTTGTCATAGGAGCCAATAAATATATTTTATTCCTAAAGAATGAAGATTATTTGGTGGGTCAAGGGAGTTATGGATCTAATGGTCATTGCTTTGCTCTGGATGGACCCTGAACAGAACCATGTTGTGCCTGGTTGTGGACCCGCCCTGTGGGCTGCCCACCTTTGCAGGGCTGGTGTTATGCTATTTTTGCTGTCATTGGCTGGGGTTGTGTGTGGGGGAGCACTGTCTTGGTATGACAGAATCTCATGTTGTACCATCAGTTTTGCTCACCCTTCATGAAAACGTCTGCATTTCTTCCATCTTGATGTTGGCCCATGAGATCCCATTCGTGTGCGTGTGCCAATGTCGCCCATGCAAGGCGTCGTGTCCTCCACGCTGCAGAACCTGGAAGCCTCACCCTCTGTCCACCCGAGAGGTTCGCCTCTGAATAATCACTCTGTGCTCGGTAGTTATTTTGCAGATTGTCCTGGCAGAATGGCAGGGTTTTTCCCCCTCCCCGAGGATTTAGCGGCCCCTCATAGCCCTGGCCACTGGACAGCATATCTCAGAACAGACAAAAGAAGTAGGGAAAAGAAAATACCTGCCCTTCTGCTATCATGTCTGAGAAAGGCTTTGCACATGCGAACTGTGGCAGGTCAGAGGTTAATAGCAATACGTACTGTCCCTCTTATCCCGGGGCTGAGGAACCACAGAACTGAGATGAGTGGCAGGCCGTCCCTCCGTGTGCAAGAAAGGGGTTAATTATTGGTGACGGGGATGCTGTGTGCGATCACAGGATTCAAATGCCATCTGCTGCATGCTTCCTTCTCCTCTCTGAATAGCTGACTTTCATGCCTGCTCTTCTGGATCCTAGCAGTGAAAAGGCAGCAGTCAGGTCAGGTTGCTGCAGCGGGCTCTTGACCACTGACCGGTGGGTAGGTCAAACGGGCTTCCTAGAGACAGTGGTGTCTTCAGATGGAGGGCTGCTGCAGGGCACAAGCTCCGTTTTGTCTTTAGGCATCTTGCTCACATCTGGGAGGGGAAGGAGATTTCCTCTGCGAGCCTTTCATCTGTGCTGAAAGGGGTTTTGCAGCATGTTGACATAACAGAGGGAGGCTATTTACATAATGGAAAAAGGGATGGAAAAAAAGACCCAGGAGATTTTTTTTTGAGGGGTGGGGATCTTGGGGTGGTTTTTAAAATGATAGTTTCTTCTGCCCTGTACTTATTTTAGGCTGGATCACTGATTTATACCATATGACGACCCTGGCCCTTTATATTACTAGCGCTGCCGTGTGCATGTGTGTGCGTATAATACCCTGTGTGATTAGCCAGGTCTGGGCTACAGGGCTGACTTTTGAAACTTCTCTCATGTGATCTTTATTGCTTGTCTCCAGCGTAGAGATTTCCGCGCCATTCATCATGCCGTGACACGTGTTTACAAACAGCCGTCCCCTAGGCCATTCCTCCTCTTCCACCATGTTTCCATTCATGCCCATGGCAAAGGTGAGAGTAAAACTGGGCAAAATGATGGGCCAGGCTAGAGCTATCTCTGCTGCTGCTGTGACTATCAGGGCCTGCGTGGAAAGCCTTGGCTTGCCATGGTTTGCAATAGGAAACAGCTGCCCTGGCAGCTTCTGAGACTGGTAGGCCTATTTGATGACCATGGGGCTGGCTCACTATATAAGTGAGACCAGTAGGAAATAGGTGAAGAAAACTTAGAAGCAGGAACCGGCCTTAAGTAATGGGTAATGGCCCCAAGCAAGGGCTGAGCATGTAATGAGAGGGTTGAGAGCCCCCAAAAAATTGAGAGAGGGAAGTCAGGCTGAAATGGGAAGCCAGGTCAGAGCCTGGAAGTGGGGTGGCTGTGGAAAGGATTGGGAAGTCCTCTCCGACCCATAAATGGGCTATATTGGCCCATTCAGTCATGATCGTTAGCTACCGTATTGTCTGGCATACCACAGCACCCCCAAAATAAGGGGTGCGTCTTGTTTCTGAAAGGCTGAATGAAGGAAGGAAAAAAAAAAGATCAGGATCTGATATTTCCAGGGAAAACACAGGCAGCTGCAGTGGGGGAAGGGAGCAAAAACCTGGGTCTGTTTGGTTAACCCCTTAGCTGCAGGAATGGAGTAGGTGCTGCTGGCTGTGCCAAATTGCCTGGCCCTTCTTGTCTTGAGCTGAGTTGGGTGGGCAGCCAGCAGCACCTGCCAGGTCAGCTGAGGGGCCTGTCCCCTGCTGGCAGTGCCTCTAGAGGTGCCCAGGCACCGAAGAGGTGCCCAGGCAGTTTGCATCCCAGAGGACTGGGCCCTCTGCTTTTTCTCATTCGAGACGTGCGCTCCAATTTCCAGTGGCTCATTATTAAAATAAGCTGCGTGCTGTATTTGAGTAAATGCAGTATATAACAGCGGGGGCTTACCATTCCTGTTTTCTTGCTGCAGTAATAAAAGAGACTGTCTCTGTCTCAGACGGCCCCTGCAGCCTGCGCGCCAGGCCTGACTGGCTCTCGTGTGCCCACGTGCACATGCACACGTGCGTTCTGAGCCCAGCACAATGCAAATACGAGGCCGGCAAGGAAACCCCCAAGCAATGGAAAGACCAATGCAGGAAACTGCAGTCTAGGAACAGGCTCGTGTCACTGCAGAAAGCGGAAGCATTAAAATGAAAAATCCCCGGAGCCAGACTGAATCCAAACGCCGTCCGCTCCTCTGAATCCGAACGTACGGAGAGGGGTGGTGGGCTGCGAGCATCGTTCCTGAATCGCCTTGCGCTGCGATTCACGCCAAGTGCAGAAAAAGCCTTGCTGGCCTCCGCCCCCACCCAAAACCCCCAGACCTCGAATCATTTCACTGGCTCTGGAAATGAAAATACAGCAATTTTACTGTGTGAGAAACTTGTTGGTTTCCTACCGGTCGCTTCCTACTATAAATCAGCACCAGGCAGCTGCATCCACTCGCTCCTTGGGATAGAAAAATACACCCTGCTGCTAGACAGTAACACAGGCGCCAAAAACATCACGGGATCAAAGGGCACCGAGCCTTATCCCGAGCATAATCAAAGCAAGCCCATCAGCTCTCCCGAACAGTCTGTTTGTGTTAGCAGTGGCCATCCGTGTCTGTCCGGGCAGCAGGGGATGGATTTATCAGCGTTGTTTTGTTCCATATCTTAGCTCATCCTGGAAGTCTCGTCTTTGTTCGAGAGCATCGATTGCTGGTACCTTCCTACATCTGCCTTCAGAGTGTTTTTGCATTACTTCCCTAACACAAAAGTACAGCCGTAATCTTTTCTGGATGTGCTGGAGTCCATTCGACCTGCTTCTTACAGGCCAGAAGCGTAGCCCTTTGCTTTCTAGGGAACGTCGTCCAAAATGGAAGGTAACACTCTGGGGACGTATAAGTATAAACGGCCAGTATTGGTGTCGGAGGAGAGCCCACTATGATTTTCTCTCTCTTCTGGTTCTTCTGTCCTCCTGTTCCGGTCTGTTGGGAAGTCGTAATCCAGGGTGTGGGTTTGTGCCCGGACTTCTTAGAATTGAAGTACATTTTCTTTGGAAGCAGAGCGAACGCTGTGTTTGCCCGTAGGAGGTCAAGCATCCTCCTGGTTTCTCAGGCACAGACCTGCCAAGTTGACTGTTTTTCCATGAAAAGTGTAGATTTTTGGCTCTTTTTTTACATGCAATCTACCAATTTCTGATCTTTTACACTTGGGCAGAGAGCTTTCAGAGGGGACTGGAGAGAGTGTCGGAAGCAATAGCCCCAGCTCTGAACTATCTGTTGTTTCCTCTCCATGCTCTCGTTTCTCTCATAATTCATGTTGTACATCTGATTCTGCCTCTATAAAATGAAAGCAGCTCAGAGCTCTGCATGTGGGCAGCGTCGGACCTGGCCAACAGGCACAACCAGACTGGTAGTTTCTGTGGTCACATGGATTCCATGTCATGCATCCATTGAAAAGGGAAATTTAGTTTATGGCTTTCCCCATTGCTGTGTAGTTTCAAAAACCCTCTATGTTTAGGCCCAGATTTTCAAGGTATTTAGTTCCGGAGTGCTTCTTTTAATCACCAATATTTGCATTTTTAGGTGCCCAAATTAATTGACCTGCATATGAATAGGAAGCCTGCTTCAAAACTTCCATATCACTCTCAAAGGCAAAGGCCTTATCAAGAGGTGGAAAGACAACACACACACACACTCTTTACTCAACAATAAATAATAGTAATTTCTTGCTCATCTTAAGTCAGTGGAATAGCATTCTTCATTGCTGAACTTAGAAACATAGAAAATGAGGGCTGGCAGGACCTCAGGAGGTCAAATCTAGTCCAACCCCCTGCTCCAAGCAGGACCTTCCCCAATTATATCATCCCCACTTCTGTAGTGTGGTTCCTTGAGCTACCTTGGGGGAAGCTTTACCTTCCCAGTACTGTAGGCTTCAAGTTCAGCATGTCTGCTTTTGTGGCCTTAAAAAGAAAAATTAGGTAAG